ATTCACTTGATTCTTAGATTCACTTGTTGATAGATGCATGTTTGTTGTTCATAATTTGTATCTTTACCTTTTTCTTCTTCTTCCTCTTCTTAAAGGATACCTTTCAGCATTTCATATAATACTGGTTTGGTGGTGATGAACTCCTTTAGCTTTTTCTTATCTGTGAAGCTCTTTATCAGACCTTCAGTTCTGAATGATAGCTTTGCTGGATAAAGTAATCTTGGTTGTAGGTTCTTGGCATCCATCACTTTGAATATTTCTTGCCACTCCCTTCTGGCCTGCAAAGTTTCTGTTGAGAAATCAGCTGACAGTCGTATGGGTATTCCCTTGTAGGTAACTGAGTTTCTTTCTCTTGCTGTTTTTAAGATTCTCTCTTTATCTTTTGCTCTTGGCATTTTAATTATGATGTGTCTTGGTGTGGTCCTCTTTGGATTCCTTTTGTTTGGGGTTCTCTGCGCTTCCTGGACCTGTAAGTCTATTTCTTTCACCAGGTAGGGGAAGTTTTCTGTCATTATTTCTGCAAATAGGTTTTCAATATCTTGCTCTCTCTCATCTTCTGGCACCCCTATAATTCTGATGTTGGTACGCTTAAAGCTGTCCCAGAGGCTCCTTACACTATCTTCGTATTTTCGGATTCTTTTTTCATTTTGCTTTTCTGGTTGGGTGTTTTTTGCTTCTTCACATTTCAAATCTTTGACTTGATTCTTGCGCTCCTCTGGTCTGCTGTTGGGAGTCTGTATAATATTCTTTATTTCAGTCAGTGTATGCTTAATTTCTAGTTGGTTCTTTATCACAACATCGAGGGTCTCATTAGATTTCTTGAGGATCTCACTACATTTATCGGCAGTTTCTAGAAAATTATTGAAAGACCTTAAAAGTGAGGTTTTTAGCTCTATATCCTCCATTTCTGTCATATTTCTTCGTCTCCGCATTTTTTATGCTTTCTTGGTGCACCCCCTTGTGGTCTTTGAGCGCAGTCTTGTTGTAGTTAAGCCTTGATTGTTGTCGGCAATACTGGGGGTGATTTGACCTCCAGGCTAACTGGCTATGAGAGTCAGCTGTGTCTGCAGTGGGAGAACTTCTGTGCTGGATCTCTAGGGCGGTGCTAATCTAGCGTTTGCCTAAGGCTATCCGGTAAATGGCTCTGTGCAGGGCTTGGGCGGGGCGGGTCCCTGGGGATCTACAGGGTGGGTGGAGCGAGCAGTTATGGCTGCTTTCAGTTCTGTCCCCAGGGGCTCTGCCTCTCAGAGTCCCAGCAACCGCTGCAAACCTCGGAGAGAAAGCTGCCTTCAAGTTCTGACCGAAGCCAGACAGTCCCACTTCTCCCGCTTGAGTCTGGGTCCCTAGAGACTCGCCCGGATCTGGAGCTCAGAGTCTGAAACTCCCTCCCGGTTGAAAACAACAACCACGCCCTCAGCCGCCAGCCCGCTCCGCATGCACTCCGCACCTTAGTATTTCACTTCAGCACTGCGCCTCCTCTGAGTCGGTATGCTATTTTCTTTCCTCCTAGTTGTAGAACTTCCACTCAGCCAGCCTTCCTGTGGTCCTGGATGATGTCCGTTCCGTCTTTTAGTTGTATTTTTGAAGTGGTTGTTCGAGGCAGCAAACTCCGGAGTTAACCTATGTCACCATCTTGGTTTCTCTAACCTATTTTAGATATATTTTAAATTACATCAAAGTAATAGGAACAAGACTCAAAGTGACCTGTTGTAGAATCACAGTTGTACTGGAAAACAAATTTGCTAACCTGCTAGAATTCTCTTACATAAATAAGTTCAAATTCTTATCTCAGCCATACCTTCCTCCTTATGTTTTGTTTTTTAATAAGCAATGCATTGTAACTGAAGGCTATTTGAAAATTAGCTATATTGTGGTAGCTAATGTTTTAAAATTAGCCCCCTTGCTTTGGTATCATATTCTACATATTATTTGCCCTCTCGGGGAATATGCCTTCATAGAAAGGACCAATGTCATGTCAGAGCTGGATGCCATATATTCCATATATTCTGTAGCATTCTGGCTGGCATATAGTAGGTGTTTAGTAATTATCTGGCTAACAAGTGAGTAAATGAATGAATCTGAATTCTAGATTTTCTGATATTCTAATTGCAGTAGGGATTTGTTCAAATTTAACACTAAGTGCATTTTTTTCATTTATAAAGAATAAAGAAGAACCTACAGAAGATAAGTCTCTGCTGGTAAGAATCTGTGTTTCATAATTATTCTACAAACTGTATTGAGAGCAAACTGGTTGGAGTCAAGTGGGTCCTAATGCTGATGGCAATCAAAAAGTACAGAAAAATAACTAAATTCTCTAGAGGCAACCACTGACAAATTTCTTGGGTATCAGTTCATAAATATTCTACACACACAATATAAATGTATATGTGTGTATGTGACCATCTCCAAATTTTTCTCACTTGACACATTCACCTGCTTACATACCAGACAAGTTTTTGACATTTGCTATAGTTTAAATATCTCCATCCAGGATGATATAATTGATAGCTCTCATTAGTCAACCACGTTTTCTACTATTGACCATTGTGTAGGACCCGAAAAATTAGTGAAATTTAGTCAAAATTAGTATAAAAAATAATATGAATCTTAGAAAAATTCTTCATTTGTCATTGTATATTTTTAATGGAGTTCAGCATGAATGATTAGATTTTGAAAAAGCATGAGGCCTGGGCAATTCTATAATAAAATATCTTTGGCTAAAAATGCCTCTGAAATGTCAAAAAGGGATGGACTTCTAATAGTTTTTATAAATATTTGATTTTGAAATAATTATTGATTCACAAGAAGTTGCAAAAATATTAAGTACAAAGAGGTCATATGTACCTTTCATCCAAGTGTCTCCAATATTACATCTTACATAATTGTACTATATCAAAACGAGAAATTGATGATGGAACAATGTAGTATATAATTACATGAGATTTTATTACATGTATAGATATGTGTAACCACCACAGCAGTCAAAATATAAAACTATTCCCTAACCACAAAGACATCCTCTGAGCCACCATTTATACTCACACTCAACCTCTTTTCTCTCACCTTCCCTAACACCTAGTACTACTAATCTAGTTTTATCTCTATAATTTTGTCAATTTGAAAGTGTTTATAAATGGAATCATACAGTATATGATCTATTTATTGAGATAAGCATTTTCCACTCAGCATAATGCCCTTGAGGTTCAGCCATGTTGTTGTGAATATCAATAGGTCATATACTTTTTTTTTTAATCCTCACCCGAGGATATTTTTCCATTAATCTTTTAGAGAGAGTGGAAGAGAGAGGGAAAACAGAGAGAAACATCGATGTGAGAGAAACACATGTATTTGTTGCCTCCTTCATGAGCCCCAACCAAGGCCCTGCAACTGAGGTACGTGGCCTTGACCGGAATTGAACCCGGGACCCTTTGGTCCGCAGGCCAACACTCTATCCACTGAGCCAAATGGGCTAGGGCGGTCATACCTTTTTATTGCTGGGTAATATTCCACAAAGGGATGTACCAAAGTTTATATAACTATTCACCTGCTGAGAGGCATCTTGGTTGACAGTTCTTTTCTTACAGTGGAAAATATTGCTCCACTTCCTTTTGGGTCCATGATTTCTGATGAGAAACACCACTTTCATTCAAATTATTTTTCCCCTATAGGTGAATCATTTCTCTCTCTGACTGCTTTCAAAGTTTTTTCTTTAACTTTCAGAAATTTAACTATCACCTCCAGCCGGCATGGCTCAGTGGTTGAGCGTCGACCTACAAACCAGGAGGTCAGGGTTCGATTCCCGGTCAGGGCACATGGCCGGGTTGTGGGCTCCATCCCCAGTGTGGGGCGTACAGGAGGCAGCTGATTGATGATTCTCTCGCATCATTGATGTTTCTCTCTCTCTCTCTCTCCCTCTCTGAAATCAATAAAATATATTTTAAAAAAGAAATTTAACTACCATGTGCTTTAGGTTTACCCTGTTTGTTTACTCAGTTTTTTGAATCTGTATGTTGATGTCTTTTATCAAATTATGGGGAGTGTTCAGCCATTTTTTAAATCACTTTTTCAGTCCCACCCATTTTTTTTTCTCCTTCTGGTACTCCAATTGCATGATCTTTTGTTATAGTCCCACATTTCCCTGAGGCTATGTTAATTTTTTTTCCCATTCTTTTTCTCTGTTGTTCAGACTGAGTGATTTCTATTATTCTATCTTTAGGTTAATTGATTCTCTCCTCCATTCTCTACATTATGCTATTATTCAGCCTACCCATTGAGTTTTTACTTCAGTTATTGTATTTTTTAAGTTCTAAAATTTATATTTGGTTCTTCTTTATATCTTCTATATCTTTGATAAGACGTTCTGTATCTTTGCTGTCACTTTCTATTTTTTCATTTATTTCAAGTGTTTGTAATTGCACAATGAAGCATTTTTACAATGGCTGCTTTAAAATCCTTGTCAGATAATTCTAACAACTGTGTTATGGCATTTGCAGACTGTCCTTTCTCATTCAGAGATCTTCTTGATTCTTAGTATGAAAACTTCCTGATTCTTGATATAGTAAGTGATTTTTTTAAAATAAATTTTTTAATTGATTTCAGAGAGGAAGAGAGAGGGAGAGAGAGAAACATCAATGATGAGAGAGAATCACTGATCGGCTGCCTCCTGCACACCCCCTATTGGGGATTGAGCCCGCAACCCGAGCATGTGCCCTTGACCGGAATTGAACCTGGAACCCTTCAGTCCGTAGGCCAATGCTCTAGCCACCGAGCCAAACCAGCTAGGGCAGTAAGTGATTTTTATTGAAACCTGGACATTTTGGGTATTATGAGGCTCTGTATCTCACTTAAATATTGAATTTTCACAGGCATCCTCTTATACTGCTCAAGCTGGGACATGGGTAGCACCTGCTCATTACTGTCAATTGAGGGGTAAAATTTCAAGTTCTCATCTCTGCCTCCGTTGAAACCTGGGGAGGAGCTCCTTGTTACTAATAGCAGGGATGGAAATTCAGGCTCCCTACATGGTCTCTGCTGACACCAACCACAGGAGGATGGCCACAATTGCTGAGCAGTGGTGGGAGTTCTAACCCCTACTAACTTCCTCTAACTCTACACCAGGGAGGAGGTGAGGGAGCCTCATTACAGTCTATAGAGGATGGGAATCTGAGCTTTCTACGTGCCTTTGCTATAAGGATGGACAGTTTTTCTGTGGTATTGGGCTGGAGTACAGTGAATGGTGTTTAAAAGTGTTCTATCCTTCCTAGCTTGCCATTTTCCTGGTCCTTTAGCTGTAAAGAGCAGGCTTTTCTTGGGGCTCTTTTTGTGTCTGTGCCCATTGGCATTTCTGGGTTGCTGGCTTCTCTAGTATCCAATCTGGCATATATGTGGCAGAAAACCCAAGGAATTCACTGTCATGTCAATCTTTGAGTCCCAAGATACCTACCTGATCTGCCTTCTCTCCACCTTTCAGAGTCTTTATATATGATGTTCAGGGGTTTCAGCTATACTTAGTGATAGTAATAGGGAAAAATAGTACTATTTCATCTTTCTGGAAGCAGAAATCGCTTAAAGTTATTTTATAAAATATCCCTGGTTTATAAAAGGGAAATTCCCTCATGACCTTGCTAATTAAATAATTAGCTTAAAAGTACAACAAACCCTTAGGTGGGTCCTCTTTAAATGAAAATCAAAGATGAATATCTGGCCCTGACCGGTTTGGCTCAGTGGATAGAGCATCGGCCTGTGGACTGAAGGGTCCCGGGTTCAATTCCGGTCAAGGGCATGTACCTTGGTTGCAGGCACATCCCCAGTAGGGGGTGTGCAGGAGGCAGTTGATCGATGTTTCTCTCTCATCGATGTTTCTAACTCTCTATCCCTCTCCCTTCCTCTCTGTAAAAAAATAAATAAATAAAAAATAATCAATAAAATATATTTTTTAAAAAAAGATGAATATCTGAGCCCCTACTTCAACCCCCTCATTTCAACGCATAACAGAGTATCTATCACATAGTAAGCTACTGTTTGATAAATGAATTAATTAAATCTGCATTTTTGCCTGAATATACATTATTCTTCCTGCTCTGTTAATTTTTAAAATATGTTTTTATTTATTTCAGAGAGGAAGGGAAAGGGAGAGAGATAGAAACATCAATGATGAAAAGGAGTCATCGACTGGCTGCCTCTTGCACGGCCCCTACTGGGGATCGAGCTGCAACCCTGACATGTGCCCTGATGGTGAATTGAATGGTGATCTCCTGGTTCATGGGTCAGTGCTCAACCACTGAGCTACACCAGTCAAGCTTCTCTGTTAATTTTTAAAATATGTCCCCCATTCATGAACCATACTGTTCCTTGTCTTTCTGCCTTTGGTCATGACCTCTTCACCCTATCCCTCTTTAGTTCTTATCCTAGACCCAGCTTATATATTTCTTTTCCAGCTGGTTTCCCTTAAGCCCAAATTTAGGGAGATCTGTTTTTCCCTATTAGCCCTTATCACTCTGTACTATGATTATCTATTTAATCTTGTCTTTCCCACCAGTTTATCAGCTTCCTGAGGGTGGGAGCTGATCTAAATGTTCACAGTTACCAAAACAGCAACAAATAGTGCCTGTCATATTATAGAGATGCAACATATGTTTGCTGCATGAGTGCGTTACTGTTAACTTGATTTTCTCTTTGTACCCAGGGATCATGAAGCAGAAGAACCTCGGCTATCAGACTGGTTTACTCCTAAGTAAGGACAAAAAATTCTGATATATATATATATATATATTAGAGAAATATGCTAATTAACCGGGACGCTGTAATGGGTTGAACGGACAGGAGGAGGTTGCGTGTGCAGCGGCAGGGGCGGGGCGACAGGGGCCTCTGCACGCCTGCACTGGGGGAGGGCCTGATCAGCAGCGGCGCAGCTGCTTTAAGGGCCAGAGAGGGAGGCAGGGCCGGACAGCAGTAGACACACCTGCTGCAGGGCCCAGGGAGCGAGGCAGGGCTGGACTGGCGACTCAAGGGTGGGTGGCGCTGCACGATTTCGAATCGCGTGGTGGGCTCCTAGTATAACAATAATAGTATAACTCAATTTTAACAGGAAAAATTTTCCCCCATAATCAAATTGTAGCTATTCTGAGAGGCTCCCAAGACTTAGAGTTCTTGTCTTTAAGGCTTTTATGTACAAAACGAGGGTCTATTTATAAAGAGTCAGGCATTTAAGGGTCAGAATGAGAAAGCTATCATCTGGTTTAACATTCCTGGTTTTATTAGGGGAAAGAAAAATGATCTCTCTTGTCTTTTTGTTTAAAAAATAAAATGATCTCTTCAATATTGAGATATCTGGGGGAAAGCTCAGTTTTTGTTCTCGTTAAGAAGAAAAAACTAGCCCTAGCTGGTTTGGCTCAGTGGATAGAGTGTTGGCCTATGGACTGGAAGGTCCTGGGTTCGATTCTGATCAAGGGCACATGCCCGGGTGGTGGACTCGATCCCCAGTAGAGGGCATGCAGGAGGCAGCTGATCAATGCTTCTCTCACATCATTGATGTTTCTATCTCCTTCTCCCTTCCTCTTGGAAATCAAGAAAAATATATTTAAAAAATAAAATAAAAAATAAAGAAGAAAAAAACTATAAGCTTAAAGTAAATATAAAAGAATAAATATCTCAGAAGAGCCAAATAAAGTGTGAAAAATAAGAGAAATTTGCCTTAACAAATATAAAAACATATTCTAACACCATTGTGATCAAATCAACATGGAATAGATCAGAAGAATAGTAAATCCAGAATTAGAGCACAAGAATACTATGTGAAAATTTATATATAATAAAGATGGTATTTTAAAAATCAGTGAGGACAGTTATGAACTAAGTACAAAGAATTCCTAAAGACAAAGGTCTTCTCCTAGTCCTCCAGATGCTTGAGAGGGCTCTTATGAAGCTTCCCTCCCCATTATCAGAGCTCCTAGAATTTATTACCAAAATTCATTGTAATACACTCATAAAATGCATTATAGATTTAATTCATTGGGGGGGGGTGGATTGAAATTTTCTATTCAAATAAATATTTATGGCTAAAAAAAAATCAGTGAGGAAAGGGTGGATTCTTTCATAAATGATGCTGGTACTACTGGCAATCTAAGTGGGAAAAACATGAAGCCCCATCCTATGCTATATATAAATTCCTAAAAGATTAAATGTAAAAAATAAACATGTTTCTCTTATTAAAAAGTCAGTAAGAGAACATGTAAAAATCTAGGTAAGAAGGACATCTTAATTAATGTTGGAAACGTAATTTTAAAAGACATATATCACTATATAAAATTTAAAAAACTTTTATTTGGTTTAAGAAGAACCAAAATTTAATAGATGAGAAAAACATCTGGGGAAAATTTTTTATAATATAGATAATAGAATAATTATCTAACTATAAGGAACTCTTACAAACTGCTGAGAAAAAAATTAACAATTCTATGGAAAAATATGATGCAGTAGAGCCAACAAGCATATGAAAAGATGCTTAAATTGAGATAGCCAACAAGCATATGAAAAGATGCTTAAATTCACTGGAAATTAGAGAAATATAATAAAAAGTAATAATGAGTTATTATACCATCAAACTGGATTTTTTTTTTAAAGCTACAGTCTATTTTTTTTTTTTTCCTGTAATTGGCTTCCAAAATGAAAGGGCCAGTTCTGTAATCCTTTTTCAACAATCTTTAAGATTGCTTTTGAGCCCAGCCAGTGTAGTCCAGTGGTTGAGCGACGATCTATGAACCAGGAAGTCAGGGTTCAATTCCCAGTCAGGGCACATGCCCCGGTTGCAGGCTCAATCCCCAGTGTGGTGTGCAGGAAGCAGACTATCAATGATTCTCTTTCATCATTGATATTTCTATCTCTCTCCCTCTCCCTTTCTCTCTGTAACCAATAAAAATTTTTTTTAAAGATTGCTTTTAAGTTATTTTAGGTAATATTCATATTTCCAGACTTTTTCTCTTCACTTGGACAATTTAAATGATGCTAAAGAACATAAGATAGCCTTGGTCAGGTAGCTCAGTTGGTTAGAGCATCATCCCAATACAACAAGGTTGCGGGTTTGATCCCTGTCAGAACACATATAGGAATCAACCACTTGCTGAACACAAAAATAAGTGGAACACAAATCTCTCTCTCTCTAATCAAAATAAAAGCTACAGTCTAATAGTGTAGGGAAAGTGCTCATGGAAATGTGAGGTATTATAGCTATTAACATGTATTAAAAGTGAACATACATATATACAGCAATCCTACTCCTGAGACTATCCAGCAAAAATAACAGTGACAACACATAAGGATATAAAATTAAGGAAGTTTATAGTATCACTTTTCATAGTGCTAAAAAGAACCCCAGAAATAACATGAACACCAATTCATAAGGAAATGTCTAAACAAACTGTCCAACATCTTGAAAAGAATGAATAAGAACTAGTCCAGATCACCTGGAAGGATTTCCATAAGGTTGTGTTGAATGAGAAAAGCAAGGTGCAGGAATGTGTGCATTATTTCATTACTGTAAAATAAACAAGATTTAAAAGTCTGGATACATATATATTTACATGTATGTGTGTATATTGCATACATATTATTTATAGAATTATATAAATATAGAGGAAAAAAGAAAAGGGCACAATTTATGGTATATTTCTTTCCAATATATCACTTCTACTTCTTACTCCTTTTATACTCGTGCTCAGTTTGCTAGACCTAGACATAAGTCAATATAGCCTTAACTTACAGAAAGAGTCCCTACCCTCTCTCTCCAGGTACACTTTTTGGACATATTATATTTTTCCTTATTATTATCATAAATCATATATCATCAAATCTTAGTGATACCTGTAGCATTGAAATCATTTAAAATTCATTTTATCCCAGCCGGCATGGCTCAGTGGTTGAGCATCAACTCATGAACCAGGAGGTCACAGTTTGATTCCTGGTCAGGGCACATGCCCGGGTTGCAGGCTCGATCCTATTGGGGGAGTGCAGGAGTCAGCCAATCAGTGATTCTCTCTCATCATTGATGTGTCTGTCTCTCTCTCTCCCTTCCTCTCTGAAATCAATAAAGATATATTTTTTAGAAATTAATTTTAATTCTTCCTTTACTAAGAATGTGAATATATTAGGTCACATATATTATTTTCCTGTGTCATCATTGTGCTTCCTTCTATGTCACACCTCTGATAGTCTACAGGATTAATACTACTGTAGCATTTATTTGTGTACTTTCTTTCAAGCAATTTCCATTGTAAGCATATACTTCATAATCAGGTCACTTTGTGTCTTGCTGGACACCCTCTGCTCAGGCCTCATGAGCTGTTTCTTAAGCTTCTCAGATACTTTATCTAAGTATGAAAGAAACAACTCAAGTAAGATGAAGTAACTTTAATAACAGGGTTGTTGGCAGAGATCTGGGTAAGGTTAAGAGATCTGACAATGGATATGGAGATGCCAAGGGGCTTGCACAGCAGGAAGTTGTGACCAACCACCTTAGGCCTATAAAGGGACAAGTGAAGGAATGGTGCCCCTGGAGACCAGGGATTTCTGGAACTATGAAATAGTCGCCAACCGAAGTTGCCATTGCATATGGACACAGTCACTGTCAAGATCACAATAAAACTGGGAGAGAGAGTAGGAAAATATATAACCTCTCTTTCTGCCCTCTGATCTTATGCTGGTGCCTGCCATTAGCAGAACCCACTGAAAACCATACAGCAGGGGACCTAGGGTGATCAGTCTGCTCCCAAAGGTTACAGCCAGGTAGAGAACTGCTGAGGGTGGATAGAGAAAAGATAAATGGAGAAAAACTAGCCCAACCCATAATTTTTGCCACTCAGCATCATTTCTCCACCTTCACTTAGATGAAAAAGCTCATGTTCCCCAATCAGGAGAAATGCAAAGTCCTTTCAGCTACGGGGAATCATCAAGGTGATGACAATTCAGCCATATTCCCATCTAGAACTTAAATGGTAACATTAGCCATCTCCAGTATTCTTCATATAAGGTGGCAGAGAAAGGGGAGAAAATAATTAACACAATAAATCATGGCTACAATATTACCTCTGTAGCTACTCAGGAGATTGGTAATACAAGGAAGTAGTTGATAATCACTGCTTCCGGGTTTCCTTATCCTCTGATAACCCCTTCGAGTTCGTACCTTACAGGATGATCCAAACTTCCATTCCTGAAGAGTCTGATTCCCTTAACGCCCCATCTTATTGAATGCCACAACTTCCCATTGACTATTATTACTAGAAATGGGAGTACTAAGGGGTACCCTAGAGAATCCCTTGGGTTCTATATGTAGCCCTCCTTGCCAACATTATGCAACTGCACCTTAATATCTCCTTGGTGATGAAGATCAGCCACACCAGCCAGTGCAATAATGCCATGTTCTGCCTGTTAGCTCCAAGTGACCTGCTATCAGGTTCAAAAAACCATGACTTATTCCCTAGATTCTAGGGCCTAGAAGAAGGACTCCTCCATTGGGAACTAGGAACTCTAAACCCACTGAACCTAAAGTCACAACAATGGAAAGTAAACACTCTATATGTGACTTATCAGATATGATCATAAGCAGGAACATCCCCACCACCACCTTGCTTTATAGATTGTAAATACCTTTGGAAGAAATGGTATCTCACATTGTTAATTAATTCAAAGCATTAATGGTGTATTATAGAACAGTACCTCAATGTTTCAGGAAATTATCTCTGAACTAACACTGAAACTGAGACTTTTCCTGGCCATTCCAGTTTCTACCAGGTCAGCTACCGCCGGACAGTGATGCACATAGTCAGACCAGATAGCTTCATGGAAGTGAGCCACCTGCCACACTACTTTCACCATAAAATATGTACCTTGGGTGGAGGCAATATTATGTGTGATACAATAGCAATGAATAAGGTATTCTGCAAGTCAACAAAGCTGTCAGATTTGTAGGCAGGGAGAGCAAATCCCTACCCAGAACATGAAACATTCCCTGGAGGAAAAGATGCTGGCCCTTTCATGGTGGAGTCTAATATAATCAAGCAGCCATCACTTGGATGGCTGGTCCCCCTCAGAAACGGTGTCCTATTGTAGGGTCAGAGTTGGCCCCTGCTGCTGGCAGCACTGGCTAATAGCTCAGTCTTAGTAAGGGGATGTCTGTGTCATTGAGCCCATGCGTAATCTCCTTGGACTCCAAGTAGCTGGAGCCACTTTGGTACACAGACACTAAGCCAGCTACAGAGAGGCTAAGCAAGGCATCGAAAGGATAGGTCATCTTGTCCACCTGATTTCTGAGAGCCTCTTTTGCAGAGCATGTCTTCTGGCTAACATTTAAATCTAATGACTCTCAGTCTCTTCTATTTCTTCCTCTTCTATTTATCAAATAAGTTCTAAACACAGGGTTTTTTTTGTTTGTTTGTTTTTATTGCTTAAAGTATGAAAAAGAGTATTACATATGTTTCCTTCCCCACCCAGCCCCTTGACATTCCCCTGGCCTCCCCTACGCCCCAGTGTCTTGTGTCCATTGGTTATGCTTATATGCATGCATACAAGTCCTTCGGTTGATCTCTTACCTCCCCTCCCGCCACCCAACCCTCCCCGGCCTTCCCGCTGTAGTTTGACAGTCTGTTTGATGCTGCTCTGCCTCTGTATCTATTTTTGTTCATCAGTTTATAATGGTCTTTATTTTTTTTTTAAATATATATTTTATTGATTTTTTACAGGGAGGAAGGGAGAGGGATAGAGAGTTAGAAACATCGATGAGAGAGAAACACCGATCAGCTGCCTCCTGCACACTCCCCACTGGGGATGTGCCCGCAACCAAAGTACATGCCCTTGACCGGAATCGAACCTGGGACCCTTGAGTCCGCAGGCTGACGCTCTATCCACTGAGCCAAACCGGTTAGGGCATAATGGTCTTTATTATCCATAAATGAGTGAGATCATGTGGTATTTTTCTTTCATTGACTGGCTTATTTCACTTAGCATAATGCTCTCCAGTTCCATCCATGCCGTTGCAAATGGTAAGAATTCCTCCTTTTTTACAGCAGCGTAGTATTCCATTGTGTAGATGTACCACAGTTTTCTAATCCATTCACCTGCTGATGGGCACTTAGGCTATTTCCAGATCTTCGCTATGGTAAATTGTGCTGCTATGAATACAGGGATGCATATATCCTTTCTGATTGGTTTCTGGTTTCTTGGGATAAATTCCTGGAAGTGGGATCACTGGGTCAAATGGGAGTTCCATTTTTGACTTTTTTGAGGAAACTCCATACTGTCTTCCATAGTGGCTGCACCAGTCTGCATTCCCACCAGCAGTGCACAAGTGTTCCCTTTTCTCCGCATCCTCCCTCTCCAGCACTTGTCGTTTGTTGATTTGTTGATGATAGCCATTCTGACAGGTATAAGATGATACCTCATTGTTGTTTGATTTGCATCTCTCAGATGATTAGTGACTTTGAGCATGTTTAAATATGTCTCTTGGCTGAATGTCCTCTTTTGAAAAGTATCTATTTAGGGCCTTTGCCCATTTTTTGATTGGACTGTTTATCTTCCTTTGTTAAATTGTATGAGTTCCCTATAAATGTCGGAGATTCTACCTGAACTAATATGCTCAATTAATATCTGACAAAGGAGGTAAGAACATACAATGGAGTCAAGACAGTTTCTTCAATAAATGGTGCTAGGAAAATTGGACAGGTTGATGCAAAAAAAAATGAAACTAGACCACCAACTTACACCATATACAAAAATAAACTCAAAATGGATAAAGGACTTAAATGTAAGATGGGAAACCATAAAAATACTAGAGGAATCCAAAGGCAACAAAATCTCAGACATATGCTGAAGCAATTTCTTCACTGATACTGCTCCTAGAGCATTGGAAACTAAAGAGAAAATAAACAACTGTGACTACATCAAAATAAAAAGCTTCTGCACAGCAAAAGAAACCATCAACAAAACAACAAGAAAGCCCACTGCATAGGAGAACATATTTGCCAATGTTATCACCGATAAGGGTAAACACAGGTTTATAATTGCCTTTGCTTTCAGAGACTTTTTCTTCCACTCTGGAAGCAAATCATTAATCTGATCTAATGAGGGAAGAGAGATAATCTTCAAACCCTTTCATCTTCTCAAATAGATATTGATTAGTATCTGCAATGTACATAACTTCTAAGCACCATCACTGTGGCAAGGATACACCTGGCCAGTTTTAAGGTAGAGTTTAAGACTTGTGAGTCAAACAGAAATATATAACTATAAATTCTAAGTATAAGAAGAGTTTAAAAATAAATGTATACAAATAAATATATAAGTTAAAGAAATCCCTATAACAATAATAGGAGGTACCTTTGAAGATTTTATTACAGTAGTCTCTCCTTACCTGCAGTTTAGCTTTCCCCAGTTTTAGTTATGAATGGTCAACTGTGGTCTAAAAACATGAAATGGAAAATTCCAGAAATAATCAATTCATAAGTTTTAAATTGTATGCCATTCTGACTAGCACAATCTTGAGCTGATCTGCTCCATCCTGCCCAGGATGCTACATCCCTTTATCCAACGTATGAACTCTGTTCGTGCTACCCACCCATCAGTTAAAAAAAAAACACCCACCATAGTAATATATAGGGTTCAGTATTATCTGCAGTTTCTGGCATCCACTGGGGTCTTAGAATGTGTGCCCTGCAGATAAGAGGGGACTACTGTATATTATTATTAAAATACTATTAAGTGTTATCAAATCCTACTCTTGTCTGGGTCTGGATTTGTAATAAAACCTGCAATTATCAATAGCAAACTGGCTTCTCACCTGGTATGCATTTCCTTCCAAAATGAAGTTCAAATTTGCTTCAGTAGTTTAATACCCTGATTCCAGCAAAACTATTACTATTAATGCTGCTACTTCTGCTGTCACATTGTTATTATTAGAAGCAAATCTAATGTCATCCTCCCTTTTCTGGACTTTTTATTTTCTTACAATTTTATTGATGGGCCTAAAGCATTAGGGAAAAGGTGAAAAGAGAGTGCTCTATAGCTTCAAGGAAAAGAGGAAGGAGGAAAAGAAAAAGGAGAAGGGGACGGGAAAAACATAAGGAGACAGTGGTGCTGTCTGCTTTAGCTAGTAATTAGAGAAATATTCAAACCCTGGGCTACTTAAGTTTAAACAGCAGTCAGAGCTCAAAGAAAAAATTCCTGTGCTCAAAAGGCAATATGGTATAATGAGTAAGCACAGATTCTGTAGCCAAACTAGCTGATCTTGAATTCTGATTCTGCCATTTATTAACCAATCTGTGCCCAAGTTTCCCCATATGAAAAACGGATAATAATATCACTTATAAGACATTGCAAGGGTTAAATGAGTAATGCAAAGTACTAAATAATGGTGCCTGGCACATAGTAAGTACCTTATAATAATTAGCATATTCACTTGGACAATAACTTCTGCTATCATAATTAAGTTGAATCTGATCATTTGTTTCTTGTTTGTTCAACAGAAAACGTCCTGATGTAATAACAACAACTGACTGGCTCGCTCCAGTCATATGGGAAGAAACTTACAATAGACAGGTCCTGGAAAAATATTATAAAAGACTGAACATTACCATAGGCCTGGTTGTATGGTCTACTAGAAAGTAGGTGCTACTAATATTCATCCTTTTTTATTTTGGAAAAGTGTAGATAAGCACTCAAAGAGCTACTCATAATTAACCCCAATCATTATTCCTGGCTGGCCTGTATGTCTATTTATTTATTGTACCTATTTTCTCCAACTGTGGCTGAGTCGTTGACACTACTTGGAAATCTTTTCATTAATATTCATTTAGCTCTCTTTTTCTTTCTTCACAACAAACTTTGTAGTTCTTCTCAGGCCCCCAAATCACTACATTCTCTTTCACTAACCAATAGACTTAAGATACAGACCCAACTTCTCTATCCTTACTTACTGGCAGTTCTTTAGCAATAATGACATAAATAACGACAGCATGTTTAAATGATGTGTTCACCTGATGATTTTTAGCAAAATAAGTTTTTCCTGTGTTCGTTTTTTTCATGTTTTACAGGTTTACAGGACAGTATCTGAAACAGTTCATCCAATCTGCTAATAAGCACTTTATGATTGGCTACAATGTTATCTTTTATATCTTGATGGACGAGTTCTCCGTACCTCCCATAGAGTTAGGTCCCCTTCGAACATTTAAAGTATTGCCTATATTAAAAGAAAAGTTCTGGGAAGACTTTAATGTCCTACACATGAAGAACTTAAATGCGTACATCATAGAACACATCCAGTATGAAGTTGACTTTCTCTTCAGTATGAGTATAAACCAGATCTTCAAGAGTAACTTTGGAGTGGAAACCCTGGGCAAATCTGTAGCTCTACTTCATGCATGGTGGTATTTTGAGAATGTTAAAAAATTCCCTTATGAGAGAAGACCTAAATCAGCGGCTTTCATCCCTTTTGGAAAGGGAGATTTCTATTATCATAGTGCAATTTTTGGTGGCACACCTCATGAGGTTTTAACCTTCACTGCAGAATATCAAAAAGGAGTAATTCATGACATTGAAAATGAACTTAGCAGCACATACGAACGCCACCTAAACAAGTATTTTTTTGTCAATAAGCCTACTAAGTTGTTATCACCAGAATACAATTGGGATCCAACTTTTAGAACTCCTCCACAAATTAAACATGTTAAGATAGCATGGCAGTCAACCGGGATTTGATTGTTATATCATTAGCTTTATGGGTTAATAAGTGAATCATAATAATTACTTAAAAATAAAACATTAAAATTTTCAGTGTTTTAACAAAATGTGTGATCTTTCAAAATAATTTGTTTTCTCCTTATAATTTTAAATCTACCTATGCTGAACAAATGGTTAATTAAATGTTAGTGCACAGTAATGTTATTATCTACATATTATAAATAATGTGGAAATATTTTTGGAGGTATAAAATGAATGTTTTATGAAGACATACACCCAGACTCTATTTCTGAAAATACAGATAGATACCCACAAAATGTCAAAGGGATATATGCAAGAAAAAAGATAAATATTCATCCACTCACTCATTAAATATTTACTGTTTTTCAGTATTGTGATATATATTGCTTATGACTAATCTCAAATAGCATTTGATCTCTATATATCTAATTGAACGTAGATGAACTAGAGTATTCTACCAAATATGCATCTTACTTTACTGTTAGAGATATTGAGTTTATTTTTTTTATGCTACAGGAATTTTATTTTTTTAAAAAATAGATATCTACTGAAATCCATGATATTCTTCTAGGTACAGTCAGGGAGGGATAGAAATTATTTTTTAAAAAAATACATAATTTGCCCTCAGGAAGCCTATAGTCTAGCAAGGGAAATAAAACTATAAATACCTCTTCTGCAAGTGTAGAAGTGCTAAAATTCATAAGGAAGATATGATTAAAATGTCATGGTAGTTTAGGAAAGGGAGTAATCACCTCTATAAGAACCTTTATATAGTCATATTGACTGTGTTTCCATAAATTAGTGATGAATTATGGCATAGTCATAAAAACTGGAGTCTCAAGTCACAATAAGTTATTATTTTAATCCTCTTTTATGGGAGGAAAACTGAGGCTTAGTAAGTATTCTATAAAAGATAAGTATTACTTGCTATTAAACACTAAAATTATAAAGGATATTGATAATGACTGTAGCAGGCAGACCTTACAATGACCCCTAGTGATCCACCTACCCTGGCATTCAAGTCCTTGTGTAATCTACCCTCCCCCTCCCCCAACCCACCTTGGGTGTAAGCTGAATGTAGAGTTATCTCCAATTGAATTCTGCCAACAACCATGTAAATGATGTTGGAAGCAGCTCTTTCCTCACCTGAGCCTTCAGATGAGACTATGACAAAGGTGATGGGATGTTACTGTCATGATTAGGTTATATGAGATTGTGACTTCTGTCATACTAGCAGACTCTCTTTCTCACTGCCTTTGATGAAGCAAATTGAAATGTTGGAGAGATCCTCATAGCAAGGAATTGAAGGCAGTGATTAGCCAACAGCCAGAAAGGACCTGAATCTCCTCAGTTCAACAACCTTCCAGGAACTGAATACTGCCAACAACCATCCAAGTGACTTTGGAAGCAGATCTTTCCCCAGCTGAGCCTTTAGATAAAACCTCATCTTCAGTCAACACCTTGATGGCAGCCTTGTGAGATCCCCAGAAGTAGAAGATCCAGATAAGCCACACCCATATTCTTGACCCATAGAAACTGTCAGATAATAAACGTGTGTTGTTTTAAGCTACTAAGATTTAAGTTAATTTTTTAAGTTAATAATTATTACACATTTCATACCTGAAAGTGAGGTGATGCCATAAAAAGTACCTAAAATTGTGGGAGTGGTTTTGGAAGTAAGCAGTCAGTGGATGGAAGCTGGAAAGATTTTTTTTGCAGCATGACTTAATTTTTAGGTTCACCTGTTGATAGGTATTTATTTGTTGTCACTTTGTTGTTCATAAATTTTATCTTTACCTTTTTCTTTTTCTTCCTCTTCTTAAAGAATATCCTTCAGCATTTCATATAATCCTGGTTTGGTGGTGATGAACTCCTTTAGCTTTTTCTTGTCTGTGAAGCTCTTTATCTGAACTTCAATTCTACATGATAGCTTTGCTGGGTAGAGTAATCTTGGTTGTAGGTTCTTGCTGTTCATCACTTTGAATATTTCTTGCCACTCCCTTCTGGCCTGCAAAGTTTCTGTTGAGAAATCAGCTGACAGTCGTATGGGTACACCCTTGTAGGTAACTAACTGTTTTTCTCTTGCTGCTTTTAAGATTCTCTCTTTGTCTTTTGCTCTTGGCATTTTAATTATGATGTGTCTTGGTGTGGTCCTCTTTGGATTCCTCTTGTTTGGGGTTCTCTTCGCTTCCTGGACCTGTAAGTCTATTTCTATCATCAGGTAGGGGAAGTTTTCTGTCATGATTTCTTCTAATAGGCTTTCAGTATCTTGCTCTCTCTCTTCTGGCACCCCGATAATTCAAATGCTGGTACATTTAAAGTTGTCCCAGAGGTTCCTTACACTATCTTTATATTTTTGGATTCTTTTTTCGTTTTGCTTTTCCAGATGGGTGTTTTTTGCTTCTTCATATTTCAAATCTTTGACTTGATTCTTGCGATCCTCTAGTCTGCTGTTGGGAGTCTGTATAATATTCTTTATTTCAGTCAGTGTATGCTTAATTTCTGTCTTCCATAGTGGCTGCACCAGTCTGCGTTCCCAGCAGCAGTGCACAAGTGTTCCTTTTTCTCCACATCCTCTCCAGCACTTGTCGTTTGTTGATTTGTTGATGATAGCCAGTCTGACAGGTGTGAGATGGTACCTCATTGTTGTTTTGATTTGCATTTCTTGGATGATTAGTGACTTTGAGCATGTTTTCATATGTCTCTTGGCTTTCTGAATGTCCTCTTTTGAAAGGTGTCTATTTATGTCCTTTGCCCATTTTTTGATTGGATTGTTTATCTTCCTTTTGTTAAGTTGTATGAGTTCCCTATAAATTTTGGAGATTAGGCCCTTATCAGATATGACATTGGCAAATATGTTTTCCCACGCAGTGGGTTTTCTCGTTGTTTTGTTGATGGTTTCTTTTGCTGTGCAGAAGCTTTTTATTTTGATGTAGTCCCATTTGTTCATTTACTCTTTAGTTTCAAGTGCCCTAGGAGCTGTATCAGTGAAGAAATTGCTTCGGCATATGCCTGAGATTTTGTTGCCTTTGGATTTTTCTAGTATTTGTATGGTTTCCTGTCGTATATTTAAGTCCTTTATCCATTTTGAGTTTATTTTTGTATATGGTGTAAGTTGGTGATCTAGTTTCATTTTCTTGCATATACCTGTCCAATTTTCCCAACACCATTTATTGAAGAGACTATCTTGGCTCCATTGTATGTTCTTGCCTCCTTTGTCAAATATTAATTGAGCATATTGGTTCGGGCCGATTTCTGGGCTCTCTATTCTATTCCATTGATCTATATGCCTGTTCTTGTGCCAGTACCAGGCAGTTTTGAGAACAGTGGCTTTGTAATACATCTTGATATCTGGTATTGAGATCCCACCTACTTTGTTCTTTCTCAGGATTGCTGCAGCTATTCGGGGTCTTTTTTTATTCCAGATGAATTTTTGGAGAGTTCGTTCTAGATCTGTGAAGTATGCCGTTGGTATTTTAATGGGAAGTGCGTTGAATTTATAGATTGCTTTGGGTAGTATGGACATTTTAATGATGTTGATTCTACCAATCCATGAACACGGTATGTTCTTCCATCTGGTTATGTCTTCCTCTATCTCTTTTTTCAACGTCCTGTAGTTTTCTGAGTAGAGGTCTTTTACCTCTTTAGTTAAGTTTATTCCTAGGTAGCTTAATTTTTTTGGTGCGATGGTGAATGGGATTGTTTTTATAATCTCTCTTTCTGAAAGTTCACTATTGGTGTATAGAAATGCCTCAGATTTCTTGGGGTTAATTTTGTATCCTGCTACATTGCCAAATTCATGTATTAGGTCTAGTAGCTTTTTGATGGAGTCTCTAGGGTTTTGTATGTATAATATCATGTCATCTGCAAATTAGGACAGTTTTACTTCCTCTTTTCCAATTTGGATGCCTTTTATTTCTTCTTCTTGCCTAATTGCAATGGCTAATACTTCCAGTCCTAGTACTTTTTTAATGTATGGTACTGCGTAAAACATTTTCCTTTATGAAGAGGGACCAAACAAAATTTACATAAGTATCTAGATTCGCTCCTTTTTCCATGGGCGTGAAAAACGAGAACACTCGTGAGCGGTCCTTAAGAGATGGTGTGCGAAACACGAGAAAACTCCTGAGCGGAACGAAATGTGTTAAGTGTTCAGTCCTATAAATCTAGTACCCACCTGCCACCATATATATTTATTACAGAATTATTGACTATATTTCTTATACTATACTTTTTTTATTAAATCTTTATTGTTCAGATTATTACAGTTGTTCCTCTTTTTTCCCCCCCATAGCTCCCCTCCACCCAGTTCCCACCCCACCCTCTGCCCGTACCCCCCTCACTGTCCTCATCCATAGGTGTACGATTTTTGTCCAGTCTCTTCCCGCACCCCCCACACCCCTCCTGCCCCCGAGAATAGTCAGTCCACTCCCTTTCTATGCCCCTGATTCTATTATATTCACCAGTTTATTCTGTTCATCAGATTATTCACTTGATTTTTAGATTCACTTGGTGATAGATGTGTATTTGTTCATAATTTGTATCTTTACCTTTTTCTTCTTCTTCCTCTTCTTAAAGGATACCTTTCAGCATTTCATATAATACTGGTTTGGTGGTGATGAACTCCTTTAGTTTTTTCTTATCTGTGAAGCTCTTTCTCTGACCTTCAATTCTGAATGATAGCTTTGCTAGATAAAGTAATCTTGGTTGTAGGTTCTTGCTATTCATCATTTTGAATATTTCTTGCCACTCCCTTCTGGCCTGCAAAGTTTCTGTTGAGAAATCAGCTGACAGTCATATGGGTATGCCCTTGTAGGTAACTGACTGTTTTTCTCTTGCTGCTTTTAAGATTCTCTCTTTGTCTTTTGCTCTTGGCATTTTAATGATGATGTGTCTTGGTGTGGTCCTCTTTGGATTCCTTTTGTCTGGGGTTCTCTGCGCTTCCTGGACCTATAAGTCTATTTCTTTCACCAGGTAGGGGAAGTTTTCTGTCATTATTTCTTCAAATAGGTTTTCAATATCTTGCTCTCTCTCTTCTTCTGGCACACCTATAATTCTGATGTTGGTACGCTTGAAGCTGTCCCAGAGGCTCTTTACACTATCTTCGTATTTTTGGATTCTTTTTCATTTTGCTTTTCCGGTTGGGTGTTTTTTGCTTCTTCGTATTTCAAATCTTTGACTTGATTCTTAGGATCCTCTGGTCTGCTGTTGGGAGTCTGTATAATATTCTTTATTTCAGTTAGTGTATGCTTAATTTCTAGTTGGTCCTTTATCACAACATCGAGAGTCTCACTAGATTTCTTGAGGATCTCACTACATTTATCGGCGGTCTCACCAGACTTTTTGAGGGTCTTACTAAATTTATTGGTGGTTTCTAGAAAGTTCTTGAAAAACCTTAAAAGTGTGGTTTTGAACTCTATATCCAGTCGTTTGCTTTCCTCCATTTCTGTCATTTGTGACCTGTTTCTTTGTCTCCGCATTTTTTATGCTTCCCTGTGTTGGTAGAGTGGCTTTGTGTGCTAGGTGTCTTATAGGGCCCAGTGGCTCAGCCTCCCCAATTGCCTGAGGTGGACACTCTTGGTGTACCCCTTTGTGAGCTTTGTGCACAGTCTTGTTGTAGATAAGCCTTGATTGTTGTAGGTATCACTGGGAGGAATTGACCTCCAGGCCAATGGGCTGTGAGAATCAGCTGTGTCTGTAGTGGGAGAACTTCTGAGCTGGAGACACCCCTCCAGGGCAAGACTTGTTTCAGTGGGGCTTTGGTGGTCACTCAGTCTGCCCCCTGAGTGTGTCCTTTATGGATCTGAAGAGTTGTAATCTGAATGGTCCCACTCTGACCACTGGGTACACTGGCTCTTGGATTTCTAAGGAGGTGCTAATTTAGCCTCTGCCTGAGGCTACCCAGCAGGAGCCCAGCTGTGAAGCAATGCAACCTGCTCTGGGGCCTTGGGCCTTCTTTTGGATGTTCTGGGTTTCTCTGATCCAGCTGCAGTTTGTCAGGTAATTTTCAGATTGCAAAGGGCCAGGCCTTTCATATGCAAAAGCCTCAGTGCAGAGCTTGGGTGGGGCGGGTCTCAGGGGATCAACAGGGTGAAGCAAACAGCTATGGCTGCTCCTCAGTCCTGCCCTATCAGGCCCCGCTTCTCAGTGTCCCAGTAATTGCTGCAAGCACCTCTGAGAGAAAGCCGCCCTCAAGTTCTGACCGATGCCAAACAGTCCAGTTTCTCCCCGTATGAGTCTAGGTCCCCAGAGAGTCACCTGGAACTGGAATTCAGAGCAGTCGGGAGCTTGAGCCTCCCTCCCGATTGAAAAAGACAACCGTGTCCTCAGTTGCCAGCCCTTTCCACGTGCACCTCCGTACCTCTGCACTTTACTTCCACACTGCACCTCCTCTGAGTCTCAGTGTGCTTTTCTCTTTCCTTCTAGTTGTAGATTTTCCACTCAGCCAGCCTTCCTGTGGTTCTGGATGATGTCCGTTTTGTCTTTTAGTTGTATTTTTGAAGTGGTTGTGCGAGGCAGCAATCTCCAGTGTTTACCTATGCCGCCATCTTGGTTTCCTTGTGTTAGTGCACTCTTATGAGCAGGAGTGCTTCTTCACATCTATGACATGACTGTACTATAGAGATGCCTCTGCCTGTGTTATTATGTTTGATGTTACCAATGCCACTACCTTTAGCAACAGCCAGAGATGGAAACAGGACCTGGACAGCAAGTTCACACTGCCCAATGGAGAGCCTGTGCCTTGCCTGCTCTTGGCCAATAAGTGTGATCTGTCCCCTTGGGCAGTGAGCTGAGACCAGGTTGACCATTTCAGTAAGGAGAACAGTTTCACGGGTTGGACAGAAACATCTGTCAAGGAGAACAAAAATGTTAATGAGGCCATGAGAGTCCTCGTTGAAAAGATGATGAGCAATTCCAAAGAAGATATGTCTTTGTCCACCCAAGGGGACTACATCAACCTACAAGCCAAGCCTTCCTATACTTGGGGCTGCTGCTAGTCGTGTTACACCTGTTTTCCCTCCGGGCTCTAATTCCTCCCCTTTGGTTGCCCACCCAGCAGTTTTATTAAGTGCATTTGAACTGTCTCCTGCTGACTGTTCAGTAAGGAGGGCCATCATCACTAAGAAAAGACAACTGGGACCCATCTGCATTTCTGCATCTCCTGAAATTTGGTTCCCGCTTGCTGCTGACTCATGTGGTCCAGTTAGTGCCTTCCTATTCTTTCCCTTTATATTGAATTTATTGGGGTGACACTGGTTATCAAAATTATATAGGTATCATGTGCACAATTCTACAATACATCATCTGTACAGTTAGTGCCCTTCGTATAAGAAAAATCACTCAATTTATGATCTGGGATTTTGTGGGCAGGATTAGAAATCAGTGTCTGGACATATGAAAACATGCTCAAAGTCACTAATCATCTGAGAGATGAAAATCAAAGCCATCTCACACCTGTCAGAATGGCTATCAACAAATCAACAAACAAGAGCTGGAGAGGATGTGGAGAAAAAGGAACCCTCCTTCCTGCTGGTGGGAATGCAGACTGGTGCAGCCACTATGGAGGACAGTATGTCGTTTCATCAAAAAATTAAAAATGGAACTGCCATTTGACCCAGTAATACCACTTCTAGGAATATATCCCAAGAAAATAGAAACACCAATCAGAAAGGATATACGCACCCTTATGTTCATAGCAGCACAATTTATAATAACTAAGATTTGGAAACAGCCTAAATGCCCATCAGCAGATGAATGGATTAGAAAACTGTGGTACATCTACACAATAGAACACTATGCTGCTGTATAAAAGGAGGAATTCTTACCATTTGCAACAGCATGGATGGAACTGGAGAACATTATGCTAAGTGAAATAAGCCAGTCAGTGAAAGATAAATACCACATGATCTCACTCATTTATGGAATATAAAGAGCATTAGAAACTGTTGAACAAAAATAGTGGCAAAGAAGCATTGAACAGACTGTCAAATTACAAGGGGAAAGTAGGGGAGGGTTGTGGGGAGGGGGGGTAAGAGATCAACCGAAGAACTTGTATGCATGCATATAAGCATAACCAGTAGACGTAAGACACTTACGTAAGTACTTGAGGGCAAGTACTGGGGGGTAGGGGAGGCCAGGGGGAGGTCAATGGGGGGGGAAAAAGGGAACATATGTCCTACTATTTGTAATACCTTAAACAATAAATTTAAAATAAATAAATAAATAAAAAGCAATTCAAGAAAAAAACTAAATTAAAAAAAAACTAAAAAAAAAAAAAAAAAGAAATAAGCTGACAGTTTAATGGGAGCTCCCTTGTAGGTAACTTTCTGTTTCTCTCTTGCAGCCTTTAAGATTCTTTTTTTATTTTTAATTGTTTTATTGCTTAAAGTTTTACAAAGAGTATTACATATGTCTCCTAGCCTTTAAGATTCTTTCTTTGTCTTTAATGTTTGCCATTTTTAAAAATATATATATTTTATTGATTTTTTACAGAGAGGAAGGGAGAGGGATAGAGAGTTAGAAACATCGATGAGAGAGAAACATCGATCAGCTGCCTCCTGCACACTCCCTACTGGGGATGTGCCTGCAACCAAGGTACATGCCCTTGACCGGAATCGAACCTGGGACCCTTGAGTCCACAGGCCGACTGCTGAGCCAAACCAGTTAGGGCAATGTTTGCCATTTTAATTATTATGTGCCTAGGTGTGGATCATTTGGGGTTCATCTTGGCTGAGACTCTCTGTGTTTCTGGAACTTGAGTGACTTTATCCTTCACCAGGTTAAAGAAAACTTCTGCCATTATTTCTTCAAACAGGTTCTCTATTCCTTATTTGGATTCTTCTCCTACTGGTACCTGTATGATGCAAATGTTGTTATATTTCATGGTGTCCCAAAGCTCCCTTAAACTCTCCTCCTGCTTTTCAATTTTTTTTTTTTCCATTTGCTGCTCTGAGTGGGTGTTCTTTTCTACCTTGTCTTCTAATTCACTGATTTGGTCCTCAGCTTCCTCTAGTGTACTGTTGAATTCTTCCAGAGTGTTCTTTATATCACCTATGTTGTTTCAACCTCTCTTTTCATGTTGGTTTAATTATCATAAAGTCCCTTAATATTCTCATTAAGTTCCTTATAATTCTAATTAAATTGCTTGTAGTTCTCACTGAATTGTTTGAGCACCCTATTACAATTACTCTGAATATTTTATATGACAAATTGCTTGCCTCCATTTCATTTAGTTCCTTTTCTGGAGATTCCTCCTTTTTTCATTGGGGGTTGTTTCTTTGTCTCCCCATTTTTCCTGTCCCTTTGTATTTGTTTCTATGTATTAGATCAAGCTGCTATTCCTCCCAGGATTTGTTTTGGTGGTTTATGTAGTAGGTGTTTTGTGAGACCCAGTGGTGCAGTTTCTTAGATCTCCTGAGCTGGGTGTGCTAGAAAAGTATTTTGCTTGAGTTATTTTGGTTCTCCTTTGTAGTTGTGTTTTGAATGTTATTGTCCTAGTCATGGATGGAATCTCCTCTCAGGCTGGCTGACTATGTTACCCCAACCACATTGTGCAAGCTGTTATGAAGATGCAGTTTCCAGATGTTTTCTGTCCTTCCTTGATATAAGTCTCCTCTTCAACTGGACCTCAGTTGGTAATTCCAGGTGAATGTGGTGCATGATAGGCCTGCCTATTTGGCTGCCATTTTCCTGGGGTTTTTTTTCTCCAAGCTTTCTTCTTGATATTTATAGCAAAATGTAAAGAGAGAAGTATATTGGGGAAAGAGGTATAAAGTAAAACAATCTGCTATTTTGTGACTTCTGGTCCTAGACAAGATGACATAGACTCATTCTTCTCTGTCATTCACTTCTAAATACAACTAAGAATCCAGGACATAACTAAGAATCCAGGACATAATTACAGACAACCATAAAAAGATTCTGAAAAAAAGGAGAGTTAGGCAGACTGACTAGGGACCTTAGTACTTGAGGGAAAACATGGAGGTGAATTCCTGGGATTTCTTTTTCTCCCATATATTCCAGACTGGACACCAGAGAGTCCTACAACTCAGAACCACCAAAAGGCATAGACCAAAACAAAATTCTCTAGCAAAAGCCAGATATTTCTGGCTGCAGGCTCAAAAAAAAAAAAAAAAAAAGTAGCCCAGCAGAGATCTAGTGAGGAACCCCATTTCCACTTGATACCTGGCTGGCCTGCTCTTCCTGCACTAGCGGCACCGGAGTTGGCAGAGAATTCCATCTAGAAACACCAGCAGGCCCAAGAGTGGAGGTCTCTTGACCCTCCACTCAGTAGTAGAGGAAGACCTATGTCCAGCATCTCCTGGGCTCCATCCAGTGGCAAAGGGTGACCCCCACCACTACCACCAGCAGCAAAGAGAGGCCCAGGTTGATGCTTTCCTCACTCAGCAGCACTGGCACAGATGCAGTAAGAAGCCCATTGATACCATGTGACCTAGAGAGAAGGCCATGGGAGGCACTTTCTGTCCATTCACCACCTAGTGGCACTGGCATGGGGAGTCCAGGAGAGCACCTTTCATCCCTCAGGCAATTCCAGCAGTGGTCAGGCAGGCACTGGGTGGCCCAAAGAACAGGAGGTCCAGAGAGGCTCAGGGAAGCACTCACTGCCCCATGGCCCAGAATCTCCCACACTCCACCTAGCAGGACCTGCCTGGGAAAGTGTACTTCACCTCTGCAGGCAGCATTAGCAGGACCAAGCTGGAGCCCTGGTGGCACCAGTTGAACAAAGTGGACCAGAATAATGTTGTATAGGCTCTGAAACCTATATTGTCATTGGAACCACAGCCCAAAAAAGTAAGCCAAGAACTATGTACTAAACATAAATAGGTGACTTCTCCTGCTGAAATAAAAGATTTAAATAGGATATAGGATCTTAAAACTTAATATTCAAAATGTTAGAATTTTTAAAAAATCACTCATCATATCAAAAACCAGAAAAATCACAATCCAAACAAGAAAAGGCAATCAACTGATGCTAATATAGAGATAAATCAGATGCTAAAATGAACAGCCATAGTCACAAATTGAAGTCACAAAAAAATGTTACTATAAGCAATTCCAAATTATCTCAAAACAAATGAAAAATAGGAAACTTCAGCAAAAATATTTATTGAGTGAATGACTAATGTTTAGCAAAAAAACATCTGTGGAAGGACACATCTCACAGGCTATCATTTATACAGGGTGGGGCAAAATTAGGTTTACAGTTGTTTGTGTGGAAAATAATACAATAATCCTATATAATAAAAGACAAACATGGTAATTAACCGTAGCTCTGACATGCTTCCCATTGGCTAATCAGGGCGATATGCAAATTAACTGTGAACCAAGATGGCGGCCGGCAGCCAGGCAGCTGAAGCGAACAGGAGGTTTTGCTTGCTCCAGTGAAGGAGGAAGCCAAGGTTCCCCGCCTGCCGCTACTGGGCTCTGAGCTGCAGTCTAAGAAACAATGTTGCAAGTATAGAAGTTAAACAAAACCCAGAAACTGCTTTCGGACAGCCAGGCTTCAGCCAGCAGGATTGCAACAGTGTTACAATTA